TTTATTTGGGGATCTATATATTACCTTTATGGAAAGTTTTTCATTCATTCATACATTGACAGATTGTTTTTGCTTTTGTCTTGGTAAAGCAAAATCTGTATTTTGAGGCTAGCATTGCATGTGTCGTTTAGTAAGAAAAGGGGATACAGTAACTTTGTGGTTAAATTATATACAATACACATACAAATAAGTATTTGAAGATAACCATTGAGTCACTAACATGTCAAAGTCCCTTCCAAGCTTAATGGCCCATAAAGCACGCCAGCTTCTATAGCCAATGACATGGGAAAAAAGGTGATATGTCTGATATCACCTGGGATGTGGAGAAGCTTGAGAGTCCAGAGAAGAGACACTTAAATGATTAGAGGCTGAAGAGCAAGCCATACGAGGAAAGGCTGACAAATGCGGGACTGTTCAGTCTAGAAAAGAGAAGACTTCGGGGGGATTTGGTGGCAGCTTACAAATATATCTGGGGAGAGCATAAACGGTCATAAACTCCAGGAAGATTTCAAACTGGATATAAGGAAAATCTTTACGGTTTGTGTGACCCGACTGTGGAATAGATTCCCAGCGGGGGTGGTGCAAGCACCTACCCTGGAGATCTTCAAAAGGAGACTGGACGCACACCTTGCTGGGGTTATTTGACCCCAGCAGTCCTTCCTGCCCAAAGCAGGGGGCCTGGACCGATGAGCTCATGAGGTCGCTTCCAGCCGTAAACGTCTGTGAATCTGGGATATCAGATCTAGATGACTTCAGCACCTCTGTCTGAATGACTCAGCTGGGTTGACTGGATGCAGGCTTTAGGAGGGATTAAACATATACCTTAACCACTCTACCACTGTACCCCATCAACATGCATTTTATTTGTATGTTGATATTCTCGATGGAGAAGCAGTATTTATTTGGGTCAAAGTTATCATCATTGTGTTGTACATGCATATCTTTAGATCTGCTTAAGCGTAACTGTATCAGGGTGTTGGAGCTAGCAGGGGTTATTGCAGGGCCCTTGGCACGGCTTTACGAGTGCTCGTGGTGCTCGGGCCAGGTGCCAGATGATTGGAAGATAGCCAATGTGGTCCCCATCTTTAAAAAAGGGAGGAGGGAGGACCTGGGCAACTATAGGCCCGTCAGTCTTACCTCAATCCTGGGGAAGCTCTTTGAGAAGATCATCAAGGAGCACATCTGTGATGGGCTGGCATCGGGGATGATGCTCAAAGGCAACCAGCACGGTTTCATTAGGGGCAGGTCATGTCGGACCAACCTGATTGCCTTTTACGATCAGGTCACAAAAGCATTGGATGCAGGTGTCACTGTGGATGTAGTCTTTCTGGACTTCAGCAAGGCCTTTGACACTGTCTCCCACCCCATCCTCATTAAAAAACTAGGCGACTGTGGCATCAATGCCTACACAGTCAGATGGATTGCAAATTGGCTGAAGGGTTGTACTCAGAGGGTGGTGGTGGACAGGTCATATTCGACCTGGGGGGAAGTGGGCAGCGGAGTCCCCCAGGGCTCGGTCCTTGGGGCCGCACTGTTCAATTTCTTTATCAGCGATTTGGACGATGGGGTGAAAAGCAACCTGTTTAAATTTGCTGATGATACCAAAATTTGGGGTGAGGTGGGCACGCTGGTAGGGAGGGAAAGACTGCAGCAAGACCTGGATAGGTTGCAGGGGTGGGCTAACAAAAACAGGATGCGTTTCCTGCACTTGGGCAGTAGTAACCACCAGCACACTTATAAGATGGGAAACTCCCTTCTTGAGAGCACAGAGGCAGAAAAGGATCTTGGAGTCATTATTGACTCCAAGATGAACATGGGCCGACAGTGCGAGGTCATGGTCGGCAGGGCTAACCGGACCTTATTGTGCATCCACAGGTGCATCTCAAGTAGGTTCAAGGAGGTGATCTTCCCCCTCTACGTGACACTGGTCAGGCTGCAGCTGGAGTACTGTGTCCAGTTCTGGGCACCCCACTTCAAGGATGTGGACAGCATTGGGAGGGTCCAGAGGAGGGCCACCCGCATGATCCAGGGACAGCAGGGCAGACCCTACAATGAGAGGCTACGGGACCTGAACCTGTTCAGGCTTCACAACAGAAGGCTGAGGGGGGACCTGGTGACTGTCTATAAACTCACTAGGGGGGACCAAAAGGGTTTGGGGGAGACCTTGTTTCCCCTAGCACCCCCCCGGGATAACAAGACATAACGGCCACAAGTTGTTGGAGAGTAGGTTCAGATTAGACATCCGTAGGAACTACTTCACAGTCAGGGTGGCTAGGATCTGGAACCAACTTCCAAGAGAAGTGGTGCTGGCTCCTGCCCTGGAGGTCTTTAAGAGGCTTGATGCCTACCTGGCTGGGGTCACTTGAGCCCAGTTTCCCCCCTGCCCAGGCAGGGGGTCGGACTTGAAGATCTACAAGGTCCCTTCCGACTCTACTTGTATGACTCTATGATAAGTTTTGAGCTATCTGCAACTCTTATTGACTATGACCGTGATCCTACAAAAACTAGAATAGCTGCTAAACTTTATATACTGTGAATAGTCCCACTGAAGTCCAGGAAATGCATATACTGTAATATGTAAAGCTAATTATATGGGCAAGTCTTAACAGGCTCAGGAACCTTCCATTGAAATTGTAGGTACTCACCATCTCTGAAAACTAGGCTCAACATACGTTCAGAGAAAGAGATGGGTTTTTACCTGAAATTGGATTCATTTTAGTCCAGTACATTGAGAGGAGCAGAGAACTTTTTGCATGTAGGTGACACGTGGTCATTCTTAGTTGTATTGTTCCAATTATGAATGTACTTATCAATGAATTCTCTCTCGCTGTTTTTCCCTCACCAACCAGGGGGGTCAGGTTCTTGAAAGTTCCTGTGGTTGGCAAAACCAGCAGGGCTGGGGGAGCAGGAGCTGTGGGTCGGGGGGAAGGGGCACTAGCAAGGCTGTAAGAGCTGTGGGGAAGTGAGAGGAACAAGCAGGGCTGGGGGGGCATTTTCCGACAGTACCTGCTACTTCTCTGAAGTGTGGATACTCAAAACGGTGGTGGGCAAGGGAAACCTGTACTCTAAAACTGAAGAACCAAGAAGTCTTTATAAAAAAAAAAAAAAAGCTAATTGCTAAGATAAAAGATTTCCACCATGTTTATTGATAGCTGGTCCACAGAACATCACAGCTGGCAGCTGATTTGCACAGCTTGTGCAAGAGGTGGCCCAGTTGTTTGATAATTGATCATCCTTTTACATTCACTAACACTAGCAAGTAGCATCCCACTATCTTTGGACATCCCTCCAGTCAAACTTCCTCCCTTGCTGAAGACTGTAGTCAGGCTCTCTACCAGTGTATATGCATTGTACATACTGTGCAGCTGTGTGCACTTATGTTGGTTCTGCCGCTGGAAACTTAGGTATGGAACAAGGTTACAAAAATTAGTGCTCAGCTGAAAATGTCTCAGTGAAGTGTTGTTCCTGTATAACTCTCTACCGCGGTAGTGAGTAGTACAGTTCACGTAGACTGCTGATGTTTTAGAAATCCTCTCTCTTACTACCAAAGCTCATGAAGAATGGAGACTATCTGCAACCAGTGTGAAGAATCCTAATCATATTGTTTCATCCTGCCATTTCAAAAGCCCAAGCAAGACAGCACCTTTCGCTGGTAGGGCGAGAGAACCACTCAAGAGTCAGCTCTCAATGCTGCCTTTAAGACATCACTTTGTACGGTAAGGAAGAGAAGTTTGAGGAGGGTCACGATGGAGGTGGAAGGCAAAACGTTCCAGCCTCCACAGAGCTGCTGCTGCTGCTGCCATTCTGCCGGAGAACCCACATCTAAGCATGACTGCCCCAGCCTCAGACCCTGTGCTGATATGGCCTCAAAAGACAAGACAGAAGCTGTGGAAAGACTAGCTCCTCTCCTATTGTCCCCTCTTTCCATCACCTGCTTTCTTACAATCTAGTACAGCAATGACCCTGCAGGGATCCAAATAGAGGCTCCTGTTTGTTCTTCTCATTTGTTGCCTAAGATTGAGCTTGGGAGCTGTCTTTATCAGGACTGCCTTTGTGCTATTTGTATAGTGCCCTGGTACAATTGGGCTCTGATCAATTGGAAGTCCTTACATATTTCCACAACAGGAAAAAAAAATGCATAATGATGATGAAGAAAGGTTGAAGGAAATAGGTATGCCTACATTGGAGACAATGAGCTGATCAAGGCCCATTATACCAGTTTCCTAACTACAAGAACAACCAAATAATGCAACATGCTTCGTCATGAACTCATGGAGTGTTTCACAAAGTTTTCAAGAAAAGGCTGGATAGGCATGTCTGGTGTGGTCTAGTACCTGCATATTGTGCATGGGCATTAGACTAGGTAACCATTGGGGTCCTTCCACTCCCATGCTTCTATATTTCTATGCTTTCCTATCTGGAGCTGTCCAAATGAGGCCCCGTGTGCTTCCTTGCATGTCTGTTCTTGTTGCCTAGCTATTGCTTTACCTCATGCCTGAACTGTTTTGCTGTGATGTCTCTGGAGTTATATTATATTTCCATTTACTAAGTATTCCTTATAAAGAAGGGGAAGGGGGCAGCAGCCTAACATCTATCAACAAAGCCTTAAAATGCAAAACCTCACCCTTAAGAAATATGGTTTTCACTCTGATTAGACTGCAGCCCCTTAGTAAGGTAATACTGGGAGATTTCAGTTTTAGTTTGAGATGCAAACCATAACCATCTGCAGATTTTTCAATGAGTCATTGAGCTCAATCTGCTTCCCTCAAGGCAGCCAGGTATCCCTCACCAGAAAAAGCACCGCTTGCTGACTGGCTCAGAGGGTCTGGAGGTGGAATAAGTTAAAGGAACCATACCACCTTATTTTCATTACTGTCTTCAACAGGAGCTAGTTATACTTGAGTGAGGAAAGAAGTTAAGTTTCTCCTTAAGGATAGATCAATTGTGTTCATTTCAGAAAAGGATGCGAATAGCAGGAAAAAGCAGAGAATACAATGATCTATGGCTATGCTGGACTGAACACACTGAGTCTCATCCAAACATAGAAACTAAACAGTCGCTTGAGGCCTGGCAAGTACTTGTCTAGGACACTACCTAAGGATCTGGTGCTACCTGATCAAAGCCAAGGAATTGGGGTCAAGCATAACAGGGTGGCCATATGTCCCAATTTGGGCAGTACAGTCCGAGATTTCATGGGCCAGTTGATGAAGGTTAAAACAAGTGTCCTCAAATCACAGGGGCACGGGATGCAGCCTGGGAAGTAGGCAGAGTAGGCTGGCACACTATGCCACTCTGCCTCTGCCTGCAGCAGCATCACTGACTTAGGGGATGGGGGCAGCATCCAAGATTTCCTGTGGTCGCATATGGTCAACCTAAGCATAATGAAAATGTCAGGCCATAAGAAAAGATGATTTGGCTCCAGAAAAAAAACTAAAACACACAAACCCCACACATATACATTTAGTCAGGAGAATCTGTCAACCTGAGATACATTAGGCAATTGGGGTCAGATATTCCCACCACATTAAAGAGAGGAGCATTTTAAGAACAGAAATCTAGAAGCCAGGCAAGACAGAGATACTATGGGTAATGGGGTAGCTGCCTGCCAAGTGAAAAAAATATATATGTAGTCCAAGAAGTCTTCCCAAATACTGACCTAGTTTTATTTCCTGCCTACGGTGCCATCTGGAGGTCACCTACAGTTTTTAATGCCTTATTTATGGCAAAAATCAGACAAGGAAGGAAACCTGGTTTTATTTGTCAGGCTTTGAGAAGAAAAAAAAAAAAAAAAAAAAAAGAATATACAATTTTTACAAGAACAAAGTTATGCAAATCTTTGAAAAAAACAGCTTGATTGCTTGCAAGCACACAGTTTATAAGTGACAAGACAATATTTATAAGTCCAATAGGTTTAGAAATCCAAAAGATCTACAATTAAAAAAAAAAAAAAAAAAAAAGCAACAACCCCCCCCCCGACCTGTTCCAGGCAGGCAGGTTTACATAAATTGGTGTTTTCTGGGTTCTGGGACTGAAAGTGCCAACATGTCTACTTTTGCAGAGAACTCCTCCTCAAGAGCATTCTAGTGGGAGAGAAAAAGAAAGAAGTCAGTAAGAATGGAAATAAATGTTCACATCTGTTAGATCAGTATGCATCAGATAAACCCATATGGATATTTTGTGTATTTATTAACTCAAATAAATGACTAGGATTCTGAGTGAACCCGAAGCTCTCAGTTCTACAAGCAGCCATTTGAGAGCAAGTTCAGCATGTATTATCTTATAGAAGTAGTAAAAAATGCATGAGTCCAAGAACCAAGAAGTGAGGATTACTAGTTCTCATGATGATCCAAAGGGTACACAGTATTTAAAAAAAAAAAAAAATTATAATCTTGTTCCCAGGGCAATTCCTAAATATAAAAAAGATACAGCATTTTATGCCTCCATTGTCTATGAATGATAAATAAGCCAAAAACATATTTGTTACATGAACATCTATGTCTGTCACCATGGCAGCAAAGAGATTTATCTCAGTAGTCATCACAGACTTCATACCTTGGATACCAGTGACCTGTGCTTTGTGGTTGTAGGAATGCAACATTTTTAGAACCAAGCAGCTGGCAAGGGACAAGTCCATGGTAGAATCTCTCATTCTTCTGTGGTATGACGCACAGAATGGGAACGATGGCTATGCCTTAACCCTTACAGTACTAAGAGATGTAGTTAACCATGTCAGTCTGAAGTCAGGCAGAAAAGCAAGGTAGAGATATGCCTTATATACTAAATCAGAGATGTGTCAGTGACCTTCTGCTCACAAAAGCTTACGTGTCTGATTCAGTCACTCTCTACCCTGCCTTTCTGCTTTGTATAAAACTAATATTAAATATACAAATCAGGCACATGGAAAAAACAGCTAATCGAATGCTGAAAGAAATTCATGGGCTTCACATCCTTCTCTGAAAGGCAACTCAACACTGCTAGGTCACTCAAAACTCCAAGGGGAAAAGTTCTGCTGTTGCTGAAGACAAGACATATTTCTGAAACAAAAGGTGATCTGAAACGTTGTTCCCCAAGACAATTTTTCATTCTGTGCTGTACTACTGGGGAGACATCGATTCTGAGCAGCAGTTTCATGTTCACAGTGGTCCTGGATACTCATGGGGTAAGCTGCTACAACCCCATAAGGGCTTCAAAAGGTAGCTCTGAATAAAGTACTTAACATCAGTCAAGCCAGGAGGTGACAGAGCACAGATGTCATCTGCATGGTCCTTATCAAAGAGGAGTGTTTGTCCTCCAGTCCAGCTACTGACTGCAAAAAGCACCAAGTGCCTCCACCACCCTTCAGGAATCTGAGAGTGGCAATGCAGTCAATAGCACGAATAGCAAAAGCACCACCAAGGGGGCATGCAGACAATTAGTTCCTCGGCCTGTTCATCTCATCAACAAGCATCATTTCCATTTTATCTGAGCCATAGTTTCATCTAGATCTTATTCTCTGGAGTGCATCAAAACTAGAATCTGAGATAAACCCTCAACCAACCAAATGCATATAAGAATTGGGAGTGTTGGGCTTGTTCTGAAAGCAACAGCATGCATTTTAAATCTCCATTAGCAACAAACCCCACTTACCAGCTCCCGCTTTACTTCTTCAATCTTTACTCGAGCAAGGGAAGGATTCTAAAAAGAAAAAGGGTATGTTAAGTAAAGGTGATGGTTCTTCAGCTTGAATCAAGGGGCTCCCTCAACCCCCAATTTTAATGAAGGCAGACAGGGAAGTGAGGGCTACAATGGAATGGTTTAAACAAATGATCTCGATATGCAGCTCCTAGGTGCAAGACCTTCAAAAAGAGGTCAATGTACCTACAAGACATACTGAAATTAAAAACTATGCTAAAGGCACATGGGCAAAACCCTCTCCAAGGATGTGGGAGATCTGTGGAGGCTGGAGATGGGACTGAATTTGTATGACTTGGTGGGGAGCTACTTAAATGTGTCTGTGCTTCTGCTCCCCACATGTAAAAGTCAGAGTACTGCTTCCCACGAGTGTTGTAAGGCACTCGGGTACTATACCAACAGAGGCCATGTTAGGTAGCCAAGACAGACAGAAGTGCAAATCTCAAACCAGCGATCCTCAGCTACTGAGTCAGGACACCCTGGGGTGCTGCCAGATTTTTTGAAGGGTGCAGTAACGTGAGAATGTAAGGAGACAAGTGAGATGTGATGAAATAAGCAGATGGACACAGGCCAGGTTTGTCCCTGCCTGGACAATTTTCTACCCTCAATTGCCAAGCCCCTCTGCAACACAGTAAGCACTGTAATACATAAATTTGTTTTTGAAATTGGGTACCTCTTAATCCACAGAAATTATGGAAGGTGCCTCAAGTCCAAAAAGGCTGAGAACTATTGGTGTAAGACTAGGTCACCATCCCTGCATCACCTGTAACTGCTGCAGCACTTTCCCTAGGGAAGATCCTTCACTATTGATTTGAGAAAGGAATGCCAGTTTAGCAATTCATCGGCTTCCAGAGGAGCTGTGCAAGTGCTGCAGACTGTCCGCCAAGCAGTAAGCCATCAGCTTCATGCACAGGGAGGCGGTTGGATTCTTTTCACTTTATGACTTAACAGATGACTAGTTGGCTCCAGTTTCTTTAAACAAGTGACATTTTCTTGCAATGTTCTTGTTAGCTAAAATGGTCTCCGATAACAAGGATCTTTCCTAGTTTACGTCTACCGATTTCTTCCATACACAAAGACTGCTTTATGGAAAACTTTGCTGGTATCCCCACTCTCCAAAGAACAGCTAACAAAGTACTAGCACATCCAAGCCTCCCACCAAAGTTAAAGGAAGTTGTCGAGTGCTGAACACTTCCACATGTCAGGACACTTAAATAAGTGTTTAATACAGGTTAAGCACCTACACCTGGGACCTGTGTTTTTAAATCTTGGCAAGGTTCTCCAAGTACTGTGACCATTTATACTGCCATTCAAATGAACAATGGGAGTAGTACAATGTACCAGCAGATCCAAAGCATGATTTATACACCTTCTAAATATATTGATAAGTCTTCAGATATTTTATTTTTCTCCAAACTTTCCCAGCTAATTCTCCTTGATGCCTAGCTCACCAAAATGTTTTATCTGGGTCATATTCCTATGCATCAATGGTAACAGAGGATTTAAAAAAAAAAAAAAAAAAAAAAAAAAAAAAATCACTCCAGCAGAGCCATTTACTTCCATGGGCCTCGATCGATGTGTAAATAACCTTCTGTTGAAGCACAATCCTCTGTCTAGACAATTTATTTATGGAATTGTCACAGAGATTTGGAAACAGCACAACTATGAGTCTGTTAAGGTCGTTGTAACAAAACCTACTTCCATATAAGCGATTATATGTATAATATTGCAGCTCTAAACATAATGCCACTGCAGAAATTAGGCAGACGGTGAAACTTCTGCTATTGCATTGTATGTGTATCTATCTAAAAACTGTGTGAAAACCAGAACATAGTAAAGTAATTACAGGCGTTAAGTCCAGGTAGGACTTCAGTTTCTTCTTCAAAGGCCTGGTCTGCTGCTTTAGTTCAGCTAGTTTCTGCGAACAGAGGAAAGCAGATGGTTATATTACACAGTCTAATTTGGAGTTAGTGATGCAGATCAATTAAACAAACATTAAGTTAACAAAAGCATTTCTGAACTCCTAGACGTTTTAAAGTTACAAGGAGGCCCAGTGTCCTACTAAGAATCTAAAAATCTTCAATCGTTAATTTAGTCATACCCAGTAAAAATTAGACACTGGTGTAAATATGGAATTTTCCCTTACGAAAACATACAATCTCTTTTCAGGGAGCACTCCCAGCCGGTCTCAGTTTCCTGATCTCTAGGAAAGGAGATGGCAATTTCAGTCCAAAACCCAGAGGGCAGATATTCTTCTTACAAAAAAGAAGTACCACTACAACTGGCTGTGCAGCCCCTTTTCAGCTATCTCGGAGGCCAATGACTAAATAAACCAAAAAGAGTGTGTTGTTTCACTCGCACACCTTGAGGTTGTCCTAAAAGGACAGGGCTGAAGCAGATAGTTGTAGTGGCATGGGAAGCTTCTGCTGTTACTTCTGAGGCTGTACCCATGCAAAAGGATGAAGAGGAATTAATTCTTTATAATGAAAAACCAAATGCTTTTCAGAGCAGTCCCTTCCTCTAAAAATTAAAAATGAAACCATCATGCATTATGATGCTGGATTCAAACTCGTATGTTACAGATGCCTATATTTAAAAAGGTACCTATACCTTATGAAGAAGTGTTATTGATAGATTTAAGTCCAATAAAAACATTCTGCTTGACACATTGTGGGGTGCAAATAGTTTCCCAGGGGACTGGCTCATGAGAATAATGTGGCTATTTTCATTGTTCAAGCTATGCAAGAAATAATACATCAAGAATGGTGAAAAGTATTTCACCCGTTTGAAAATGTGTTACAGTACTAAATAGTGATAGTCCTGTTATGAGGAAAAAATAGCCCATATCCTATGGGCTTCATCATCACAGAACTGTTAATGAGTAACACAGGAAGCATGTTTTTTAGAAACAAAGTGACTTGTGAAAACGTCCTTTTAACAAGTTAACCCTTCATGATTTTGCATTACATTTAAACCATTATATGCAGATAAATAGATGAGGAATCAAGATGTAAAGTTTGGATCACAATTTGAAAGGACACGGCCACAATTTTACAAGCATTTGGATGTGTCATTTTGTGTTGGACTGATCACAAAGCAGCGTGTATCCCCATGGATAATGTTCTTTCTTTAAATTACCCAAAGGACCAAAGGTCCATCTCGTCAAAAAACACCCACCTCTGAGAGGCTCACTAATGACTCATGTGTCAGGGAGGGATCCATCCTATTGGCAACAAGCTGCTCCTACAAGAGAAAAAAAAAAACCAAACACCACAGTTCCTTCAGTCTGTAGTGAATCCTGCTCTTTTATGGAAACACACAGAGGTAGTCTATGGGTGTCAAAGATGTGGCATACAGGCCTTTTGGAGAAGCTGGGAAGTTGAAGGAGAGTCCTACTATCAAACTCTGGGATATGGAGCCCTTCTAGGGATGTGTTTTCGGCAGAGGGACAAGCAATGGGAGGTTAATGCCACCACCACTCACCTTACTGGAAGATCCAGCCCCCAAGGAACCCTGTGGTCTGGGGCTCTATTACACCAAGTGCACAAAGATGCTTTACTGCTTACTTACGAAAGTAAAGCACAGAGGGAAACAAAAATGGTTTATGGCAGCAAGAACGTGTAGTTAAGTGCAAATATCAATGCAATTTTAAATATGGAGTTAGTTGTTACAAAGCTTCATATAAAAGCAATGTACCTTTCTAAAAAAAATAAATAAATAAAAAAAAAAAGCCAGCATGACTCAAGATCTGATAAGGCCATGAGTAGGATGTCAACTATCATACATTGCCAGTCTGCCCAAAGGAGGATGACAAAAATTACAGCAGTGCTGGGAAGCTTAATTTCTCATAAAACACCTAATTAGCTCAATACTGGGTTTCAGAAACAATTAAGGAACTAATATACAATGCACATTACACTGCACCCCCCCCATAAAAAAGTGCGACAGTTGAAGCAGACTCCCCACTGTGGGAGGCTGAGAAGCTCCAGGAATGCATCTGCAGGTTAGTGAAAGTCTGTGTGTTAAGGCCCAGTTTGACAAGGCAATGCCTACCTTTCACAATAACAATGCAAGTTCCTTTACACCAACCTCTGCAGCCTTGATCCTGAATTTGAAGTCCTCAGATTTGTTCTTCAGGAACTTCATGTTTTGGGTTCGGCTGTCAGCTTTGGCCTTTTCCACCATTACATGTTCTTCTGTTTTCTTAAGGTCGCTTTCAGAAGAAAGAGAGAATAGTTGCTTTTCAGAAAGAAAAGTCAGGGTCAGTGTATGCAATTCACTAACTTTCATCTAAATTAAGCCCTCACATAAGCATCCCAGAGCGCCAAAGTCAAGTAGAAAACTAAGTTTCATTCAGTCCACAACAGATCACTCCATCAGCAAGGTGAGATTTTCATGTCCACAGACTCCCAAGGTCCTGGGATAGTCCCATTGATCTCTAGGTGTCTTCATGAAAAGCCAGGACACCCGTACACTCTCTCAGAGCAACATAAAATTTGACTTGCTTCTCTACCATCTACTGATGTGTTATAATAGCTGCACACCTTTCCATTCCAATTCTAGAGTAAGCTACATCAATGTACAGAACTGGTTTTATACTAGACTATGCATTTGTCTGTCTAGGTCCTATTTGAAATCAATTTACTGTAAGGTCCTGCAACTGACATTATAAAAGTTGCTGTAAACTACAGGCATGCGTTTTAAAACTGAAAATTCATCTTTACCGAACACAGTCAACATGCAACATTTCAGAGACCAATAAAAACAATTCCCATTTCCACCTCCTTCCCCTCCACCATGTTGCTTCCCCTTACTCACTCCTGAAGACGTTTTTCTAGCACCAGTGCTTTGGTTAGCTTTTCCCTAAAGGTGGTCAATTCAAGTTCCAATTCTCTATTCCTCGATTCCACTTTATGCAAGTCTGAGGTCAAATCATTGATAGCAGGGATGAAGCTAACAAGATAAAAGATTTCAGGGGCATGGTTAGAAAGTGGTATCATCTGATCCTGAAGCTTATAAAAATCATTTATTTTCTCCCTTTTATTTCTTGAGTTTGCTCTTGTATAGTAGCAAACCCAATGGCTGTCAATCAGTATGTTGAAACTATCTTGTTTCAACAGACTGATTGGTACCTATACCTCTCAAATAACTAAGAACTTCTAAATACTGTAGTGAGATACAGCCTAACATTTTAATGGCTGTATGATACATTCTACATTTACGTAGCTCCTTTCATCTCAGTATATTTTACAATCAAACTTGCACAGACACTGGAAAAGCAGCCATGTTGTGGTGGAGGCTGGTAGCCAGCCCAAGCGCAACTGCTGAAGTAGGGAGAAGAAGAACAAAGGAAGAAGGGGTCTGTAGCAGGACCGATTCTGAAGGCAGCTGTGGCACCTCCTGGTACCTGAACCTATCCCCACTCCTGCTACTCAAGGCAACCTCACTGTTCTGCCTGGTACACCTTGATGCAACTGTATTTTATATTGGGAGGCTGTTCCCCAGAGTTCCTGAGTATCTCCTGAGACTGTACTTGATCGAGCTTCTCCTGCTTTGCCAGATGCCCTTGGTCTGCCTCTTGACAATGGATACCCAAAATCTGCTATCCCATTCTGTGCCTCACTGGCACCGCTTCTAACTTAGCAGGCCTTACCAGCCCTCTGTTCCTTTGGTCACTAACTTGCCGTAGGGCTTTAACTGTGGCTTTCAGCCACCCCCATTGTCATGCTCATGCCTTACAGATCTTACTCTGGATTCATTTTTTGGGGTCCTCTGGCCATCTGCCCACCAGGCTCTTGGCCACAGCCTGTTTCTGGGCCCTTGGTCCTGTTCTGGCTTCAGCCTCTCTTGGGCTCCAATCCCTCAACCCAGGCTTTACCCCTCATAACCTCCACCCATCTCTGGGCCCCAGGCCCCGACTCGGCTGAAACCAAGTCTGCATCAAGCTACACAATTTACCTGCTTCTCTACAGAGACTGGGGGCTAGCCAATAGGGCTGTGCGAAATGTCACCAGCTGTTTCAATTCAACACTATTTTGGCTCATTTTGAGCTCGAAGCAGTCAAATCAAAATCAAAATGAAGGGCCGCGAAACATTTCAAGTTTCAAAGCCCTCAGCAAGGTGGTGAGAGACAGAGGAGAACTACAGCTGCGCTCCCAGCACCAGCTGAGTGCAGCCCTGGCATTCCCCATCTCCGCTGCTGGGCTAGGAAGTCGATAACAGCACAGGGGAAAGGGAACTGAGCTTGGGCTCAGTTCCCCTCCCCAGCGCTCTGATCAGGCAGGGGGGCAGAGAGTCAGCCCAGCTGGGCCAACTTCCCATCCCCTGCCTGATGGCAGCGCTGGGGGTGGGAAGTTAGCCCAACTGGGCTGACTCACCATCCCCAGCGAAATGTCAAAACAGCCTGTTTCCGCAGAACGGAACGAAACAGCTGTTTCAAATCTAAATGAAATTCGAAACAGACCGCTGTTCCATCGAACTGTCAAAACTCAAGGCGAAACAGAACAGTGCCATTTCTCACAGCCATACTGGTCAAGGACGGCTCCCATTCCCCTGCAATGCAACTCAGGGGTGAGGGAAAGGAATCAACTAAGAATAAATAGTCAATTAGAGCTTCCCAGTTCTTTGCCTGAACCCATGTTAGAACAGTCTGGGAGCTACTGTCATGTGCCAGCTGGCAGGAGAGCCCAATGAACCATATGCCAGACAGAGGTAGTCAGAGTGCCAGATACTGCAGCCTCCTGCCTGGGTTCACTCCATCTTCAGAAGCAGGGGCTGCAGAGAGGGAGGCACAGGAGAAGCCTGTGCCATCTGTACATCTCTTAAGGCTCCCCCACATCAGAAGAACCTCCCAGGACGAGACTTGTGGATGGTTCCCATTCCTTTTCTTGATGGTATTTTGGTAGCATAAGAGTGGAACAGAGGCAGAGAACTGGCCCCAAAGTTCTGCTTGTAGCCTCTAGTCTGCAAAGGTTGGACAACCACTGACTTAGATTGCCCTTTTAGGAACACCAAAACGTGTGGGAAGAGTTACCTTGCTAGGGAAGTGTCCTTTGTCTCAAGTGCCATTGCACTATCTACCAGTGCATTCAAATAGTGGGTGCCCATCTTGGACAGACAGGTCAAGGAAAGGTTCACGCTTTGTGCGAGAAGATCCTGTAGGTAGTTGGCTGCAAAAACACAGGAGTCATTACTTAATATTTGTGAAGTCATACATAGCATTGTACACACTCAATACTAAGACAGTGGACAGGTTTAACAGTTATACAGGTATAAACTATTACAACAGCACTGCTACCTCTACATGCTTCTGCAGCAATGAATGCATTGCAAATCATTGCAATTTTACCCTGCTTCACTCAGTAGCTTAGCTTATCTACACTGCTGCAGAAGTGTGCCAATCCAAGTTATATCGTAACAGCTAGTGACTGCTCCCCAGATCAAATTCCTCCTTCTTCTTTCAAAGATGCGGAACACTACATTATTCTGCAAGTTTGTTGAAGCAAAGAGCCCGACCACAATCTGATAAGATGCAGTAAAGAGCCCAGTACGCTGTGTATTATTTTGCAAATATCTACAAGTATATTAGTGTTTATTTGATGGAGCCTCACTGGAAAGACGCACATGAAAAATTCCTGCCACCAATGTTTTTTCAATGCTTATAGTTTATGTTACAATATCGTAACACCCTGCCACAGGGCGCTAACCACTGCCAGTGGCAATTTGTGGAATCCTGGGGCACCAGCTAAATCTATCCTTTTGGTTCCTTTGGGCTAGTGAGGAACCTCAGGATCCCAGTATGGGGACACCTCCTATAACAGCACTCTGACACAACAGATAACCATTTACAAGAGATGTGTATTAATTTATATTCAAATGATTACATGCATACATTTATATTCATATACATACACTGCTACCTGTTCTAAGGTTTAATTCATGACTCCATTAATTTATGGAATAGTACTAACTAACTTAATGCTTATAAATATATGCAACTTCATAACAATATAGGTACACATATAGGCTGATGATCACACCCCTGGTAGAACGACAGTAGATCTATTCCCTATACAGTAAAGCAACCTTATGTGCATCCAAAACGAGAAAGAAACAAAAACAGGGACATCACTTCATTTGTAAAATGATGATACAGGCCGGGTAGGTCTGTCATAGATGCCCAGAATAGCAGTCTTTCAGTTGACTGCTGTTGCCTTGAAGTTGTCTTAGTTCAGGCAAGCGTAATCAGGTGCGGGTGCAATGGGAGCTCCCTTGATGGCCCCGGGGCCCTGCTCCCGACGATGCCCGATGCCCTTGCTTGGCCTCCTGTAACATAACCAACCTGTCCCATAACACCCCTTTCTGCCCTTCAGACAAGGCTGCTGGGTCTACTTTCCTGGTTGCTCATTCCCACGGCCCTTTGACACTTAGTTAGAGCTTCTCCAGTGTGCCACTCTCCCCCCCACATTGTCCTCAGCTGCACTCTCACTAATTGAAGCTGGTCTCCCCTCAGGATCCCCCATGCAAGGGTCCACTACAAGGAGAGAGGGCTAAGCCCACTCACCAACTCCCAGCCCCAGGTGCTTCCCCTTTAATCAGCTAGGGCTCACCTCTGTGCTCTGCTTGCTTCCCTCACGCATGGAACAGGTGGTTCAGCTCCTGCAGCCTCCCACACACGCTGCTCCGGCCCCCCAGGGAGACCCCTGCAGCATCCTCACAGCTGTTTGTCCCTCCCTCCACTCCCCAACTATCCTTCACACCAGATCTCATCCTGGCTGCAGAATTCTGGGGTCTAAGACAGACCCTGTTTCCAGGGCCTGAAGGCAGAATTGCTCCAGTCCTTTCATTCTGGTGTCATCTGGGGAACAAGAATCTCCCCGGCTCAGCCTGGCTTTGGCTTGTCACGAGATAGACTATAACAGAAAGGGTACTCGCCCATAGTGGGTGTTAGACTGAGAAGGGTATCAAGTGAAAACCTTGCAAGGGATGTCTCTTCAGTATTGGAAATGTTAAAATAAAATTAGGATGATGGCCTGATCTGCTCAGTTTAAGAGATATTTGCACTGCATGTTACCCAACACTCTCTCTGCAATTACCTGAGAAGTTAGTGAATAGCAGCACTGCTCTTTCAAAAAAATCCAAAAGCACTCAACTAGTAGGAGACTTGCATTGTTTCAGGCACTTGAACACCACTTTCCCCATCACCAGCACCCTTCTGCTTTTAGCACTGCTATTTCAGAGCTTCACTATCCAGCCTTGCAGTTTGGGGAAGTTCAGTGGCTAAAGCTGCTGGTCTGTATTTACAGTCTGCTTGAGCTGATCCAAGAAGCTATTATTGGGCAGCCTGGCATCATCAGATAGTTTTGTTGGGAGGAAAGCATTTTTTCAATGTAGTGTGTGACACGGTACAGAAGTACTGGAGTGAAATCATAGCTTACTGGCATCTTTTTATAACAAGTTAACAACTTTATAAGTCCATTTCCTGTAATCAGAACCCAAAGTTCCAAGCTTACCTTCTAATCCATATTCCGCTGTCTTCTGTTTCATGTCATCCATCAGCAGAGAGATGTCCCTGTCCCTGGTTTCATTGCATTCTGCAAGTTGGTGCAAAATGTCAACAGACCGTGCGTTCACTTTGTATTGTGGAATGGGCTGGTCCCCATACACTTTTTTTAGCCATAAAGTAACCTGCCAGGAATGTGGAAGGAAATAATCAGATCAGTGTAATGCAGGGGAAATAAAGAGCAGAGTACAGAACATGAATCCTAGTCCTGTTTGTCAAATCTTGCCCACACTTCAAGGGGAAATTGCTTCAATAATAAGAGGCCAACAATAGGCAATGATAGAAGCACTGGCGCAAACTGAGCTCAAGCAGGGTTAGGCCCTGGACAGACAAATATATATTCGCATGACCTGCATCATTTTTAGGATGGGCAGATGCGCAGCTATCCCAGAGTAAGTACAAAGTGGCTCTTATATACCAATTTGTAGCAGTAAGAAGCACCTACTGCTCTTAGATGGTAGGAAAGCTTGTGACAGCCTGCGTGCCTTGGAGAAATGGTTATGCTAGGAGGGATATGGACAGACAAAATCTAGATGAGGATGGAGCTGGGCTTTTCTCAGTGGTGGAAGATGACAGAACAAGGAGCAATGGGCTCAAGTTGCAGCAAGGGAAGTTTAGGTTAGAAATTAGGAAGAATTTTCTCACTAGGAGAATAGTAAAACACTGGAACAGGTGGCCCAGAAAGGTGGGGGAAGCTCCACCCGTGGAGGTTTTCAAAACCTGGCTAGACAAAGATTTGGCTGGGGTGATCTAATTGGGGATGGTCCTGCTTTGACCAGGGGGTTGGACTAGATGCGACCTCTTGAGGTCCCTCCCAACGCTAATTTCCTATGATGCTATGACCTGCGCAGGCAGGTGTAGCAATCTAGTCCGTTTGGGCTCTGACTAGCAAACCAAACAACAGAAACATCAAGCAGTGCCCCATTATCCCAGTACCCACACAGCTTGCAGGATTCATGAATCACAGAGAAGTCAGAGTGGAAAGGACTTCCCTCCATAGGTCTAGTCCAGCCCCTTGCCTGAAGCAGAATCATCCCTATCCAAACCACCCTATACAAATCCATCATCTAAAATGCTTCATTCAGCTGCTTTCAACCCTGACAATAAGACACAACTTCGTCTGCCATAGATAAAGCAGGGAGACCAGGGCAGCCAAGGTCCTGCTTTTACAAAAGGTTCGTAACATATGCTCAGAAGATCCCAGGTAGCGAGCGCGCCACTAGAGAAAGGCAAAACCGCTCTGACCAGCACACACACATCTGCCCATGGGGTAAAACACCTTCCTGACCCCAAGTACGGCAACCCTGAGTGGAGGGGCAACACCAAGGGTGCGCAAAACAGCTGATCCAGCCCGCAGCCGGGCTCCATTACCCAGCCGCCCCTGCCCGCATGGCCGGGCCAGTCTCCGTGGAAACCCCAGAGGTATGGGAAAGCTCGAGGCTGAGGTTGCCATGGAGACCGGCCCCAGCCACGCTGGCAGAGGGCAGGGCAGGGGGCTGTCGGGATGTCAGGATGGGGGTGGCTGGTCTGTAGCCTGCAGACCAAGGCACCGGGTGCGGGCTGGCTCGCGCTGCCTGGCTAGGCCTCGGAGGGCAACACAACCTGGCAGATCCGGCCCCAAGCAACTCCCTGCGGGGCGGCGCGCGACCCCGAACTCAGCTCCCCAAGGGCCCGGGCGGCCGCGCTCTTCCCCGAGCTGCCCATCCTGCGCCCGCAGCTCCGGGCCTAGGGAAAGCAGCCGGCCCAGGGGAGGGGACGGGACGGGACACGACACCCTCACCCGGACCAGCTTCTCCTCCATCCCGCCTTGAAATCCTCCCGCCTCCTTCCCGGCAGGCCCCGCGCCCCGCCTTAATCGACCAGACGGGAGGGGCCAGCGCGTGTCGATAACGTTGCCGTCGCGTGCATTCTGGGAGGTGTAGTCCGGCTGGCAGGAGCACTCCGCAGCGCGCCGGGCGGGGAGAGGCTCCTTGACGCCTCAAGTGTGGGATGGAAACAAATCAAAAGTAATACGTGAATAAGCATCTCGCGGAAAGGAATGAATCGTTTTGTTTACTAGCAGAACATACAAAAAATTAAAGAGTATGAGTGAATGTATTTTAAAGTATGCGGTTGCTTAAATGAATGTATAGAAATATATCGGTGTCCTCCTGGTTAATCAAGACGCATGCAAAATGTAGTATAAAGGGTAGATTGATGCAAATCAACATTTTGCAGTTTCCCACCAAGCTGGCCTTTTTTCGGCAAATTACCAAAAGGTAACGCAGTAAGATTCAAAGCAATCCTTACAATCGGGATTTTCTGATTGCTGAGTAAAATATAATGTCAATGTAAATAAACTATAAAATATAAGGAAAATGAAGAATGTCAATCTCTGATTTGACTCAGTGCCCCCCAAAGTAAAAAGCCTGTTGCTAGGTCATGATGCATAGATGCAAAATTGTGACAATCGGCAAAGTGGCTTATAGGGCAGATTCTTCTCTTTGTCCCTTTTGGACACTAGGAAGAGCTCCTGGGTCTTTTGTGTTTTTCTTTGGCCTTATGGAGGGAAGGCGGCAGCACGCCGGGCCGACATCTGGGGACCCATTTCACAGTCAACTCCCTTTGTACGTGACACGCGGCATCTCAGACTCCCGCACGCTTCGCTCAGCCCTGGGCAAACGTTGCCGCCTCACAGAGTAGGTTGCAATTGTGGTGCGATTTTTCAGGCGGTGCAACACGTTGCGAAGGATTGTCTGATTAGATAATTTCATGGCGATCTAGCATCAACGCACGCAGCTGTCCCTGAAGCAGTCGAATGGCTGTGCAATTTAGATAGCAATCTATGAAAGCTGCAGTATTGCCAGCTCATGATTTTTGGCATTATTCTTAAAATCTATGTTTCAGGAATGTGAAAAACTTATATAGCTAATTTTATATATATATCTTTTACATATAATTATATTCATATTATATCTAATTTGATATATATATATACATATATACACACACACATATATGTGTGTGTGTATATTTATGTATGTGTGTGTGTGTGGGTGTGTGTATAACTAGGTATATGTATATAATTATATGTAAATTATATATATATATATATATATTATATAAAATTATATATATACCTAATTCGATATACACACATATTTATTTATTTATTTATTTAGCTATATAAGTTTTTCATTTTCCTGAAACAGACTTGAATGCCAAAAATCCTGAGAGTTCAGAAATTATTTAAAAAATCATGGGATTGGCTACAAAATAAAAAAGTGCTTTTTATTGAATAACAAGGGGGTCCCTGTTTGCTGCCCTCCTAGTTTGCCCCCCTGCACCCTGCCAGCTCCAGGGCTCTGCATGCAGCACAGCTCACACAGCCCTGAACTGAGCTGACAGTCTCGCGAGAACACAACAGCTCCCGGACGAGAACAAGGCGTCCGGCCCCTCTCTTGCTTGAAGCGGGAGGGCGGGGCCAATCCAGGCCCCGCCCCAAGTCCCCTCTGTCTGACCCCTGCCGCGCCTGAGGGGAGCGCGTCAAGGGCAACCGACACGGTAAATAATTAAAAAACGGTCCTGGTTACACAGAAAAGCAGGGAACGCGTTCTTTATAAGGGAAACAGTGAAAACGTGAAAAATTAGTGAGAATTAGTCCTCTCGCCGCCTAGGGGCGGGACAATGGAGGAAGCACTTCCGGGGCAAGCGGACGTTTCCCCCAATGGCGGCGGGCGGGGGCGGGGCCTCCCGCCGGAAGGGGCGGGACGGCGGCCATTTTGTGCAGAGCCATTGAGGCGCTGCGAGCCGCCACTGTACGAGTTGCTGCCACCGCCGCCTGG